AGGTAACTACTAAGGCCCCTACATTACCTTCATTGCAGATTTGTCGTTCAGGGTCTCGGGTGTGAACTGTTTTGGCGCTGGAGAAGGCATGGAGTGTGGGCTGAGATCCAGGAACTTGGCAAGTGTCATTTCACAACCTCTCGACGAGGTGTGCATATATATATATATATATATGCTTAGAATCCTCGAGGAGTTGAAGATTTCCAGAACTTCAAGTTCAAAGCCAGTAGCCCCTGAATCACACGGGTATCCTTTTCCGGCTGTGCCGTTTTAGCGAGGAGCCCACTAAACAGAAGGGCGACAGGATTCTACAGCTTAGGACCAAAACAGCCTGCAAAAGGAGGTCACGTAGACACCTGTACGATGAAGCCCTACATGGCAATTGAACCCCAAACCCATTCAGGGTAGATTTCGTCCTGGAGGACCTGATGCTCTGCGCCTGGAACCGCCGACCCCAAACATCGAATCGGACACTGAGCTTCTAGGCTCATCCCTGAACCGCATATCCCTAAACCTGTATACTATAGGGTTTCGGGTTAAGGGTTGCAGCAATTAGGAGTGGGTTTTGGGGCCGTTGGTGTGAATCAAGGGTACTACTCTCAGGCTTTGGAGGGCCCTTCCAAAACTGATCCTTTTTGTCCGGCTCGTGTCAGATACATGCAGTGAGGACCCGCCATCCTACGACTGCGGAGACACGGGATTAGATTAAGGGTTCTGACAGTGTCTAAAGATCAGGATTCTCCAGGGGCCATGTGGAAATGAACTACTTGGGCTTAATGGGAAAGCAGCGGCAGGTGAGCATCTGCGGAAGGGAACATGTGAGTGTCAGGCATCCGCTCGATTTCTGTGCTTGCCCTGTACATGCATACACGCACACATGCACACACACACACACACAATGTGTGGATTTTTTTTAATGTATTCTCGGACACTCAGAAATCCGGGCATGTGTCTGTCACACATACACTTATATGTAATATGTATGTGTACACTGCATTTCCATGGTTAACAACCCATTCCTTACTACTTGATAAGTACTTTCTGGCATGCATGTTTGCATGTACGCATACCTTTTGCAAACAAAATCTCTGTGTGTGTGTGTGCGTGCGGACCATGTATCTGCAAGTGGGTGCGAGCGCTGTCTCCGGGCCTCTCACTGGAAGCTCGCACTCAGTCCTCCAGCATTTGAGACCACTGTGTGTCTGCAAGGGCCGCTTTGATCTCCTCAAAGTTCTGCAGGAAGCTTTCAATCTTGCCATCATGCAGTTTTTGATAGCGTGCAGCCACCTGCACGGGTGGAGTCTTGCAGGAGGTTCCGCTGAGCATGAAACTCCAGACGTCATCCATGTCTTTCACGATATCCTCGTAGTAGACACGACGGTATTGAACGGCAGTGGATTCCAAAAACTTGGTCAAGCGAGAGTTTTCATCTTCAGAGGTCTTGAGTTCTCTGAGAAGTAGTTTTGGGCTGATCGTGACTTTCTGCTTCTTGATTGCGCCAGCCATCTTGTCATCTTGCGTTGCTGCAATGTGCTGGACCTGATTGGCATGGCCCGACACGAGCCTTCTCACGAGGTTCTTGCGCTGCACCCACAGGATCCGGATAGAGTGATTGCTGGAGTACTGGTGAAACCAAACCGGCCAATCCTCGAGAAATCCTTGGTTGATTTTCCAATTGAACCCTCGGATAAACTTGCCGTTGCCCAACTCACGGGCACTTATCTGAACGTAGCGCTCCACCTGCCATGGCATCTTCTTGCCATCTACAACCATATCGCTAGGTACGTCTGCAGGATCGAGGAATCTCCGGATCGCCATTTTGCGTAGTGCAGGTGGCCACCAGGAAGTATCGTTGCAGCAGAGAATCTCTGGCTGCACGTCAATGCACGGGTGTTGGTTGAGCTTTTCTGTCAACCAGTGCGTACCCGAGCGCTGCTGAGCAAGGAGGATAACCCAAGTTTGCTCACGCTTATGCTTGGCATCGTCCAACGACAGTGGCTTGGGTTGAGACACGGCTCCAGACTGATTTGGACTCCAGGAGTTTGAACAGAATGTAACGATTGCTGAGTGCAAGAAGCCTGTCGTCAGAAGACTGCCTATGAACATGCCATAGACCATACCACGCCAGAAAGGCATCTGCTTGTACAGGAGCACAGGATTGCAAATGAACCAGTGCAGAGGGGCGACCAATAAAGGTGCACGTTTGCTTTCGTGAAGGCCCTGTACAAACAGCAAGCTGGAATAATGAAAACCCTATATAGTTATAAAGCCCTTCTAAACATGTCTATTCTTCGTTACGGCTTTGATCTAAAATGATTAGTAATCTTTTTCTTAGTGTCGCTATTCTTCTTCTTCATATTACTAGCATTGCTAATATTATTGGTATTGTTGTTATTAACGAAAAAGTGATGCGAATGAGGAAGCGATTGTTCTCCGAAAACCAGTGAAACGACAGACTGGAGACCTGAGCCGCGGCGTCGGATTCTGAAATTGGAAACCCCAAAACCCTACACTCTAATTCAGTTGTTTAGGGTTTTCTGTTGCCTTCTGCTTAATTAGGGAATAGGGTTTGGGGTTTTTGAAGGACCCTTTTCCGTCTCGCAGTGATGTTGAAAGAGGTTTTCTGCTGGTGAGGTATTAGGGTTTTGGAAGCCGGGGCTTTCAAAATTCGGGATTGTGAGTCCTGGGGGCTTACGGGGTGTAGTTGCTGGGATGGATTCGTTTTGAGGTTTTTCTCCTGATCCAGGGCATGGGCCGGATCGTAGGATGTCTGGAGCACGTTGCGTTCGGGCATGGGTCTATGCCAAAACATGTGCAACACCCCAGACCCTCACCCGGCACTGTAAGGAGACACGGTTGCAATGTAAAGAAGATGGAGTTGAAATACATCTATAGCTTGCAGACCTGTAGCTGGTAATTGGAGCCAACCAGCTAGAAGCTTCTAATCAGTTCATGCGATCCAGAACCCCACCTGCCTGACAGTGCAAATGGATAAAGGACTCAAGACCTGTATCAACCCATAGCTAGCATAGCTCCTAAACCCTTTTGCATCCAGGACTCTTGCCCCTAAACCCCGAAACCCTTAGCTCCTATACCCTTACACCTACGGTTGATGATGTACATCCTGCATTACCCATAATAATTAAGGAGGAATATACCATAATTCTAATAGTTTATGAAGGGTCCTTCACGTAATGCAGGATTTATATCATCAACAGTAGTAGATGCCAGAGCTTCAGATCCCACACGTGTTTTAGCGATGTCCGACGGCCCACGCGCCCTACGGTTGCGCCCGGGCCCATACATATAGGGTTTAGGGTTTAGGGTTTATTTAGGGTTTAGGGTTTAGGGCTCCCGACCCCAAGTGCCCAAGCCCATTTGGCAACTTTAGAACAAAGGGATTCCGTCCATATGATACCTGGGTGTATAACTATACATATATGCGTATAGAGAGATAGATAGAGAAAAAACATAGAGATAAGAGAAATGGGGACAGAGAGAGAGAGAGAGAGAGATGATCATACCAAATCCTATATTCCAGCACCCAACCAAGCTCAGAGACCAGCCAGCCTCTTCCTGCAAGTAGGGTAGCAGATCCTGTTGAGGGTTTCGACACTCACACCAGCTCGAGAGCTTGGGGGGTTGCAGTTTAGGATTTCGGGGTTTGGTGGTCGATGATTTGGGGGGATTTGGATTTAAAGTTTAGTGTGAGGGGATGTGAGTAACCGGTTTAGGGTTTGGATGATATGGGGGGCTGGATTTAAGCGGTTTAGGGAGTAGGGTGTCGGGTCCAGAGGTAGCAGCAGCATGGCAGTCGGTTTTTCGGCTCCAAATAGGTCTGCTGGGAGTCTCATGGCTACTTATAGGTTGGTGGACGGGTAGATAGCCGAATCGACCCCAGCTGATTCCTGAACAGCTAGCGCGTAGATAAGTGATGTCTTCCTAAGAAGCTGGGACTTGGCCCAAAGACCCGTTAAGCTCCTTATCTTCCTCACCTGAGAAGGAGGCCTGACTCAAGGATCCCGATAACTTATATATTTGTTAGGGACCCAGCGCCCAAACTCCTGGTCTTACGCCTGGAGCCACTCCACAGATCCCACCTAAGCTCGAATTCCAACACCCAGGACGACTAGACCCTACTGTCAGCCGTAAACCCTCAACACTGAACCCAGCCCTGTGCCATCCGATCGGCCAAAATCGATTCTAGGGGCTAGGGGCTGGATGCTTCCGCATGAACGTGGACATGCCCGTTGCGAATGAGGCAGCGGTTTAGGGATAATCTAGAAGTCTCAATAACTACCAATATTCTTTCTTTATGATTATAGTTTTAAGATTGTTTGAAGGGTCCCAAAACCCTCTAAGTCCTTCAGCCCCCTACATGAAGGGCTCAGTTGCTTTTTGCAACCCGCCCAGCTGACAAAGTCGCACCGCAGGGAGCTTGTCAGGGGTCTCAGGGTCTAGCATTGGCAGAGAAAGCCCTGAACCCTTACGACAACCCCTAAACCCTGCAGAAGCCCCTTAACCCTAAACCGCAAAAAACCCAAACCTGCCAAAACCATAAACCCGAACACATCCTAAACCCCCAAGATCCTAAACCCGAGACCATCCTAAACCCCAAAAACCCTCATAACTCCCAAAACCCTAAACCCTCAAAACACCCCAACCCCCCCCCCAAAAAAAAACAAACAAACCCCAAAAGCCCCTAACGCCCGCTGGCGCGGCCTCTCTTGTGGCTAAGTACCGGGACTTGGAGGAGTCCCAGGATGCCTCGATCTCATACCTGGGCAAGGACTCCAAAAACGACTCGGGATCGGCTTTGAGTAGGGTTTGCATGGGGTTTAGGCTTTAGGGGTTTAGGGAATTTAGCGGTTTAGGAGTTTAGGGTTGAGGAATACTGGGTTCAGGGTTCTTAGGAATATGAGGGCTTTGACGTTTGGGGGTCGGGAGTGGGAGGAAGGTAAGTGGGTGGAATTCGCAAGCAGAGTCCTTTCATGTCACGTCTCAGCCTTTCGACTTAGAGCATTTATGCGTAATTATCCTATTGGCTTGTTGTTGCTGTTGCTGCTGTTGTTGCTGGAGGTGGTGGTGCTGCTGCTGTTGCTGTTGCTCTTGCTGGAGTTTGTTATAAGCAGCTATCTGGAAAGCAAAGGGCGGAATATAAGAAGCCGGGAAAATTCAACCTATTCCTTAGAGTCCTTTGAGTTCCGCCTGCTCTGAGAGTATATGTTACTCCCACCACCCTATTCTGTTCTACTACTAAAGTCCCGGTATCACGCATGCCACGGGACTCGCCAGTGGAATGCACAGTCACGACATGGCCGACATCCCCTTCGCAGCGCTTGCAGTCATCGCGTGCTGGTTTCGGGTCTAACGAGTGGATTTAAGGCTCAGAGTGTAAGGTTCAACTCAAGACTTCCATCACCGTCATGATGCAATGCCTTAGGCTGCACGAGTTGCAGCAGCCTGTGGAACTTTGAAGAAGGAAGTAGGTCATGGTAGTTATACAGCTTCCGGGATGGGCTTGTCCAAAACAACGGTGCTTTCGGCATCAATCTCAGTTTAAATAAAACTCCGTACATGAGCTGTACATGCCCGGTGCACCTTGCGAAGAAGAGGCATGTTGCTTGGGGGTTCATGTTGGTTCTAGGTAACAGCAAGAACACAAGCAAGTCAACTGTCGCTACCTCTGTATCTCGCTTTGTCAACATACTCGACGCAAACCATACACCATGCAGGATGCGAGGAATGCTCGAAATCGCGCTCCTCTCTCTCTCTCTCTCCAAAACTCGATGGTGACTATGTTTTCCCTTTTCGTTAAAACCCGATATTGTATTATGACCTATTGTACTGTAATAAACTGTACGTACTATATTATTGTCATACTATACTATATATTTCTATTAAGCTCTTTCCGCTTCTTCGGGCTTCGCGTCTCAGGGCTTCAAGATCCCACACCTGGCACAAGAATCCAGTCCCCGGCGTTGCAGTAGATCGGAGCTTTCACATAGACCTCACCGGTTTAGGGCTTAAGGTAGGGACTTTAGTAATTAGAATAGTGTTTTGGGCTTCCTTATAGTATGATTACAATAAGGAGCCCTAAGAATAATCTTGGTAAATCTTGAGGCTTCTCTATTACACTGGCTTCAGAGTACTCTCACAACTCGGACTAGCCAGGCGCTGTCTATCAGGTCTAGCGTGTAGGATTTAGAGTTCACCAGCTCTGACTTTGAAAATGTCCTTTCAAGTTATTGTCATGAATAAACCCCACCCGCCCATAGAATCCCCCCCACATCAGAAATAACATTCTCACTTGTTTCAATTTACCTTCAATAAACAACTTTAGACATATCATCAAACAATCGACTGCAATCACGCCATCTCAATTCAAGCAATTTTCAATTTTCCCAAATCTAAGGGCTTATCCCAGCAAGGCCCCACCCCACCCTCAGCCCGAAACCCCCAAACGCCAACCCAGAGCCCTTTTGCTGCAGGCTTGCAAGCAAGAACGCCACTCGTCCACCCAGAGCCCTAATCCCTGAACCCTAAAAAGGCCAGCCCAGAGCCCTAAACCCTGATCCCTAAAGGCCAGCCCAAAGCCCTAAACCCTGAACCGTAAAGGCCAGCCCAAATTCAAAGCCCTAAACCCTGAACCCTAAACGCCAGCCCAGAGCCCTAAACCCTGATCCCTAAAGCCCAGCCAAGCGCCCTAAACCCTGCACCACAAAGTGCGTCAAAAGCCACGAAGAGAGGGGGCGGGCGGGCGGGGGGGGGGAGGGGGCGTCCAAGGCCACAAAGGGCGAAGCGTGTCAAAAGCGTCAAAAGACACGAGATAATCAAAAGCCACGAGTCAATGATCAAAAGCCGCGGTTATGATCAAAAGCCACTAGTTAATGCTCAAAACCCACGAGTTGATGATCAAAAGCCGCGGTCATGATCAAAAGCCACGAGTTAATGTTCAAAAGCCACGAATGCATATAAGGCTTAAATTACCATCGGCAGAGGTTGAGGCATAGGCGGCCTGTCGATCTTAAAACATAGAAGCCTGCAGAAGAACAAACTTGTAGGTGAATGAGGCTTTACTGACATGCGGACGTGCGGAAATCTTA